AGGTTTAAGAGGACGTCTGATACTTTGATTTCCGGTTGTCTCGCGGTCGCTTGTTTTGGTGGTGGCAATTGCCTAGTGGAAAGGAGAAAGCTGCTCTTTTCGAATTGAGCACATGCGGCTTTCGTCCCAATTATAGCACCGAATTACGCAGCGGAGCATGATCAATCCAGCTGGCCCCCATGGCCGAAAACGTCTTCATCATCAACAGGCTCCTGGGGTTGCAAACGAAGATCTTCTGCCACGGTCACCCATTCTACACGCCGTTTGACGGCATGGCGGTGCTCGGGGTCCATGCGTGGCCAAAAAGATTCCCAGGTGTGGTTGGTCGCGTACACTCGCGGGGTACCTGCCGGAATCAATCCATCCACGTTTCGACAATGGATGCTTCGATCATGCTCCAAATCTACAAGACCCTTGCAAAGATCAACATCTAGCTCTGCAAAACAGGCTTCGTCCCAGAGCAAGCCCTCACTGTTGAGGAAAATGAGACCTTTGATTTGATCTCGGCTGGAAATAAAATGGTAGTGGCCGCAAACAGAAGCAAGCGCAGCGGCGGCCAAGGAAGTTTTTCCGACCTCACCGCGACCGCTCAATATCAAAGCCTTGGACTTGTGGGTTGTCGAGACCCATTCTTGGACTGCCGACGGCACACAAAAACACGCTAAAGAGTACTTGGGCGCAGCCTTATAAGTGTTCTTCCGGTCTCAGTGGGATGCCAAGCCCCGTTAATTTTTCTCAACAGACTCACAATGCACCGCTGCTCACCAAGGTAGTTCCAAAGGGTATCGTCACCCTCCATTTTTTTCCTCTTCGCAACGGGCCATAGGTGAGGCTCCGATCGTACCCGCTCCTCAACTACGATGTCGGTAACTTCTGAGAACGTGAGCATTTTGCGCTTGCGCGAGGAATGGGTGGTCAGGCCGTTCTTCGCTTGTTGATCTTTTGGCATAGCCTTCATCATGTTGATGACCTTTTGCTTTGTGAGCGAACTCGGCCAAATCCAATTGTCTTGGTCGATGTCACTGACCAACTTCTTGTGCGACGCTTCGAGAAGGTACCTGCAATACGCTGCAAAGCCTTTCCTTGGCAACGTCACCAAACACTGCAGGGCCGCAAAACACGCAGTTGCAGACAAGCACTGCCAATCACACCGAGAGTCAAGTTGAAGCTGAAGAAGCCGTTGACACTTTTGCCTGCAAGCCACTCTTGGACTTTTTTGTGCGCGAAAGGAGACGTCATGTGCACGATGACGTGCTTGTGTCTTGCACGCATTTCGCCACCGGGCATAAACTTGCGGTGGGGCTCGTCGACAACGACAAGCGCCTTGAGGGCATCATCCTGACCATGCATCCTGAAGTATTTCAGGAACAACTCCCCCAAGTCTTTTTTGGGAAGGTCTTCGGGAACGAGCCGGTGCTGGGACTTGCGGTCATCCAAGCTGGGCGGAAAACAACCTTGCTTGCAAGCAACAGACACATACGAAAGATCAAGAACACAACTATAACACAACTTTAAAAGCATAAGTTCGGTTATTTGGAGTGGGCACGTGGACAGGACCAGGTGAACAGAGCTACGCGTCCGCGGCGTTTGGGAGACGCGGGCTCCTCGCCCGACGAGCTGGAGCCACAAGCCTCTGCAAGCTCGGGCTGTTCAGTCTCAGCTTAAGAGCTGTCCGGCATGGCAAAAGTGTGCAACGCTTGAAGCCGGAACTCTTGCGGACAGATCGTGTCAAGGGCTTCTTCAGCATTTTGACTTGAGGTCATGAATTAGCAAGACCTTTTCGAAGCGTCAGCACAAGAAGCTGGTGGGAGACGTTGATCCCCGCAAAAACGTTCCACCCAGAACTGGCGGGGTTTAGGCGACCAGATGAATGAGCTTCCAATAGTGCGGCTTTACGATGGTGTCCCAAAATCGGAAATTTGGGAGCCCTTCCCAAAATGGTCGATTTCTTAATAAGCCGCCAATATGAAAATGCTATTTCCTGTCCCCGCTGCGATGGTGCCCATTTGGCGTCCCAAAATCAGAAATTTGGGAGCCCTTCCCAAAATGGTCGATTTCTTAATTAGCCGCCAATATGAAAATGCTATTTTCCTGTCCCCGCTGCGGTGGTGCCCATTTGGCGTCCCAAAAATCGACTATTTGGGAGCCCTTCCCAAAAGGGTCGATTTCTTAATAAGCCGCTTGTTTGAAAATGCCTCTCCGGAGACCAAAAACTACAGAGGACTGGACAGAATGCGATTTCCAATCGAAATTGCGCACCGCGCCACAGCGGGAGACACAGACTGGAACGGTTCTAAGCGTTTTACTGTAGCGCGGCGGTCAATCGTAACGTGCTTTAGGCGCGTTATGACCATTTTCCCTGGCATTTGCAAGGGAAAACCTGAAATCGTAACGTGCTTCGCGCGTCCAA